ACTTGGAAGTGTGTAATTATATTTATCGGGCATCAACTAAAAGGATATGGACAGAAGATTGAGGTAAACATGAACATGAAAGTCATTCTCTACCTGGTGAAAATTTGATACTGGTGTTTAGGACAATTTTGTATGAAACACAAAGACAAGCTATCTTTCTCTCATTCTTTTTTTTTTTGGATGCTACTTTTGTGCTAAGCTCCTCCAGAATAAGATTTATAAACGAGTTTAACTGGGCTGTGCCATTGAAGAAACCTATAAAAAAAGGACGTCCTGCTGAGAGTCAAGTAAAGATCCCTTAAACTTTGAGTCCTTCCACTTAATTTTTATAATGGAAAAAATATATACTGGTTACAAAAACATCTGTTTTATCAGAAACGTTAGGTAGCTGAGCATGTGAAGAAAAGGCTTCTCTATATTGCCAGCGAGATGAAAAGTCAGTCTATTTGTCTTCTCTTTTGTTAGCTTTTATCTTGTGTCTCTGTTACTCTAATCTTAGAGGTCACATCCAAAAGGAATTAATTTAGATGTCTAAACTCGGAACACCATTCCTGCAGATCCTGGTTCCAGCAGCTCATTTCCCAGGTGTTTGGGGCAAACATGACCTTAGCTTTTGACCCCAGAATTACCCCCAAGCCTGAAGTTCTGCTGCTGCCTGTACCCTGGAGCACCTTAGTTGTACCACCATCACCTTGTCATCTTGTTCAGGCTTTTTTCCTGGCTAGGATCCAGAACTTCTCTCTGGGGTTTCAACTATATGTTACTTTAAAAGCAAACCTACATATGGTGAATCAATCAATCTCTACTTGAAGTGCAGTGATAGCAACTTTTTTCTTTATAGAACACATATGGGAGGAGAGTGAATTACTGTCCCTCTTGTACAATTGCATGTTGGTAAGTACATTAATATGTATTTGGTTTTCTCCTTTATATGAAGGATAGATTTAGATTGACTGAGGACATACCTGAAATAGTACTGTGATGCACTTTCATATTCTCACTTCCTGTCCCAGGAAGTTTGAGTTCTGTTTTTGTCACAATGACTGTGACAGATGAAAATGGAGACTGCTAATAGTGCCCATGGGCTTGGACTCCCACTTGCATCCTTCTGATCCCAAAAAGGTGCTGTAACCACCTGCCTTTCCATGCCAAGTGTATTGAGAGAGGGTTCTGTGTCTTCTGTACTTTGGAAGAATTTTTTACATTTATTTATTGGGAAAGCACTTTGGCACTTACATTTAAGGATTTGGATTGTATGTAGGTGGAGACATGGGTATGTTCAAAGACTCCTGTTTCAAGGGAAAAAAATAATTTGCATATAGCTCTCCCCAGCTTGTTCCTGCTGCAGTAGGTATGTTGACCTTCAGGTGCGTTTCAGTCTGGAGGTGGTTCCAAAGGCACCTTCTGAGGTGGACAGCTCCTTTAGTGAATGACACAGGGAGGAGCTGAGGTCCCTAAATAAGGATTTCAATTTTCTTTCCTGGGAAAAGTTAAGCTGCACAGCACATGGTGGTGTGAGCTCAACGGCATTTCATACTATGGACTTCTTACCTTTGCAGAGTTGGTAACAGCTGCTTTATGCTCCAGTTATGCATCAGTGACTAAAGCTCTTTCTGTTAGGGACCACAGCAAACGTTCTGCTAACAGTAAATATCCCACTGTGATTCTGCCTTACCATTTACTACATCTCCTGCTAAATAATAGTCTGTATTATGAGAAAAAAAGGTTAGCTTTATACCTGAACAAATCAGATATATAATTGATTTGCTTCTCCTTGATTGAGAGCATCCAATGTAACTATGTTCTCAGATAAAAATAAATTAAAAATGCAGCTGCATTTAATTTCAAACTGATGTCTTTTATAAAGGGGGATAGGGATTTTTAAAGAGCATTTGGCAATTGGTTTAACTGATCTCAGTTGAAATAATATATTCTGTGAAATAATTGGCAAGTGATGTCTGGAGGCAATGAGTTAAGCTAGTGCTGGCTGCACTAGAAAAATCCCACTCATGATTTCTCAGTTCATTTCTTGAAGATATGACAACAAGTTCTCTCTTGTAGGTTGTAGTATATGGATTGCACTGTGTGTCTGTCTGAATTAAGTGGTCAATATCTTCCTCTGAACATCAGTGGCAGGGCTAAATTACTTCTAAGAGCTATGTATAAGACTTTTTAGAACTAAGGCTGAACATTTAAGTTGCTTATTTCTGCTGCTAACAATACTGAATTTCATGGGGCAAATGAAAAAACAAATATGGGTGCTGACTTACTTGCATACTCTTCATATTCCGTACACAGCTATCTCGCTTTGCCTTGCTGTGAAGAAAATGTAATCCGAGCACACAAGAACAACAGCAGTACACTGCAGATATTTTGGTTTGTGTGGTGTAAGATTGACTTTGAGTGTTACATGGGAAACAGAATGAACCAAACAAAAAAATCTAACCCCAAACAAATGATAAATCAAAAAAGCAAAGCACAGGAGTACAGAAGCACCTTTACACCTGGGACTTAAAAACTGAGGTACTGTCTGTGTTTTAGTCAGTCTCTGGCAACAAACTTAATTTTAATGCCTCGGTTTACCTATGTCAGAGGGGCAGAGGGAAAACTAACATCTTGTGAGTATTGTTAGATCAGTTGCCTCAGAAGAGTTCACCAACCCTTACACAATACTAGCAGAACAAATGAAGGTGTTCACTGGGACTTTTCAGCATGAGATTTGTGTATCTGGAAGAATCCAAGGCTGTTTTGAAGTCAGAGGCAGATATCTGATCTGGGCTCTTAGTTACTGCTGTAATAGGACTATTTTTAGAATTGCACTGGGCTGCTTTTGTTCTGCTGTAATCCTTTTCTGTCTCATTACCATAGTCTGTTTGCTCCAGTAAACTTTAAATACTTCCCAAGTGTAGAACATACAAAGATGAGCACCCCACAATCAGTAATTCTTACTCACAATCCTAGCAGGTGGGCTGTCCAAGGCAGGCATCTGCACTAAGTTTCTAGCTTTGTACATGTCTTATGGAAGTTGTTTTCTCTTAGATTATGCTGCACAACTGAATTGTCCCTGAGCCTCAGATGAGGTCACTAGATACTTCATTTCACACAGTATGATTTTTGTACTTCAAGCTATAACTTTTGATGAAAGTTTTTAGAAGATTGTCCCAGATGGAACTGCTGTAAGGCCAAGGCCTCTCTCCCTGCAATGACAAGAGAGGTAGCTGAAGTAGGGTGTCATACAGGAGTTGCAGAATATGGTAGTGATGTGTTCCTGATGGTATAGCCAGGAAAGCTTCCTGTACCTTTAGAACTTCAGTTGCATTCTTTAAGACTTAAGGTTAACTTCTCCAAGTAAGAGAGTTTAGTATAAATTCACCATATAAATCCCATCTCTTCCCCTGACTAATCTGGAACCTGATAAGGATATTACCTGTGGTGTTTCTTAGTATCATGCTTGCTGGGCTTTTTGTCTTGCCACCTGGTTAGCAAGGTCCTTTAAAGAGAAATCTCCTCTTGCAGTTCAGAAGTTTCTTATGTCATTCTGCCTGAACTGTTTCTGTGACAAATCTGCTAGTTGCACAAGTAGACAAGTCATATCTAATACACTGTTCAGGTTCTGATAGTCCAGTTCTTGTCTTTCCACTTTACACATTATGCTAGAAGTCCTTCTGACCACCTTCGGTATAATCTGATAGTCTTTTGAATCTGAAGATTGCATATGAACAGACTTTCTGATTAAATTACCAGGCCTCTGACTGTCTCTCCTGGCCTCCCAGTGTTCCTGGCATTCCTTCCCCCCAGCCCTTCTTGAAGTACTTTATTTTTTTTTCCCTTTTTTCTTTCCTTTTCTATAATTGGGAAATTAAGACATTTACCACCTAGAGCAACTAATAGCCAAGCAGAAAAAAATCCAAACGCCAAGCCTAGCACACTTAAAATCCCTCAGTGGCACAGCTCACATTAGGGCACAAGGGAAGTAAAGCATCATTGTATTGCTATTTCATTATAGCTGTATTCATCCATGGGTTCAAATGTTTGTCTTAACCTCCACCTCATAAATTCTAAGTGGTTAGTTCATTGTAAGGAAGACTGAAATATGGAGACAAGTCGATAAAGTGCATTACAAGACAGTTGCATTTCCCTTCATTCCTTGATTCAGGTCAGCCATACTTCATCCCATGGAGATGCATCTTGTTTAGCTTTCAGTGTTTAGAAATACAGAAGAATGGTTGGTCTGTGTCTTGCACGCAGCCCAGCATCAGCACTCATTCACTTATTTGAAAATTGTCCAGCATTTTGTGATCTGAAATTTATGTCTTGAGCTGGATCAGTAACTCAAGACACATCATTTAAAACATGACCAAAATAATGTTACAGTATGCTATATATCATCACCCAGTGAATGATTTTGGAACAAATCAGTTACACCTCTGAAAGCAGTGGTGGTGTTTTCTTTTCTTGTTTGACTGAATTAAAATAGTACTTCATGCTTCCTTTTCACTAAATGAACAATGGTACACAGAGGTAACTTTATCAACTCAAAGGTATCCCTTATTTTATGACAAACCTCTGTTCCCTTACTGTGTTCATCCGTCATACAGAATACTTTCTGCCACTACATCTGAAACTTGCCTATATTCTTATGGTGTCTATATCACGGTATTTTTGGTAGAGGCCACAGATTTCACTTCACTGTATATCAGCTCTGTTTTCCTTATCCAAGTATTGATTTTTATTGCATCACCAGAGCTTTGATAATTGTAAATCTGCAAATATGTAAATGTTTTTTAGTTACTGAAGGAGTGCTGATTTACAGGACAGAAGACCTGGCTCCACAACTTGAGCAGATAAAATGAGTTCTTTCTGATGAAGATAAAATGAGATCTTTCTGATGAAGATATTATTCCAGTCATGTGGTTGAATGGAACTCTAGAAAGTGAGAACAATGTAGAAAGATTAAATAAACTAGACAATGAAACAATTATTTATATCTTCATTTTTAGCACACTGGCAAATGGAATGCATCTAGCTAAGTATGTAAGTCTCACAAGCTGCCTCTCAATCTGGACCTGTGGAGCTGAGAGAAAGGACCTTAGCAAGGAGGAGAGAGACAGCGAGAAATCAGAGTAAAACTGCAGATGATGGGAACATGCTGTAAAACTGCTTTCAGCCCCTGAAAGAAGCCAATGTAGCGAACAACTTGTTCTGCTAAGGTCAGTACTAATCCTGTTGCTGATTCAATTCTTTACAGCAAAATGCTAAAACTAACTAAATAGATTAAAATAGTTATAATTTGGTTCTTCTGTCACTGGACTGTCAAGGCGTGGATCTAAACCTGGGATTTCATCCTTACTGTGGGTCCTTGCCTTTGCTTTCCTCCTCTCCCAATCCACATCAAACATGCCTTGCCAAAGAATTTGGGAAAATACTTTTTGCTATCTTTGAAGGAAATATGGGGCCAAGAAATCAGAAAATGCTTTGCTGTTTAGCTGTTAGTATTTATAAAACCAGGAAGCCATCACTTATGGGCTTGCCATACAAGGGCTGAATAGACAGAGGAAGTGGTGTTTTAACATTGTTAGTGGATCAGTGGGAAGCTGTGATCCACCAGAGTCTCTTTCTGAGCCTTCCTGACAAACTGACTTTGTATGTTTGTTCCTGTGCCTGAGTAACTGAAGAATGACGGAGAAAGGTATGCAGCTTGTAAAATAGAAGTGGGAAGACTGTGAATTACACACTAATGGCTAGCTATAACAAATTATATTTTCCCTTTAAGTAGACTCTTCAATGCTACTTTTCCAGCTAAGAGATCTCTTATCTGGGATATAATTAAAACTCCCCACTGTTGCTCAAATCTTAGATACTTAAAATTCTTGTTTGTCTCCCATTAGTATTACATAATTTAAAGCTATCTCTGGTCAAGGAGCATAAAGTAGTTATGCATAGCAGTAATATACAGGATTGTTTCAAGCTAAGTACAGCATGGATCAGGTAAATGGGAGATAAAGGTAAATCTGTGACTCTTATTATCTCACATTCCTATGACACATCTGCTTACCATGCCAGAAAATGGTGCAGAGTTTTCGGGGGTTGTAGGTTGCGGGGGCACAAAGAACTCAATGAACTCTTGCCCTCTTTGGCTGCCTACAGCAAACCTTACAGAAAGGGAGGCTGCAGTCAACACAAGTTTTCCTGTGCTTTCATTTCACACCACCAACTTTTTGGCAAGCCAGTATGAGCTCATCAGTATAGCTAAGTAATTGGGCTAGTCATAACAGAATTAAGATAAGCCAACCGCGAGAATTGTTTGGACCTCCATGGCAAATGTGCATCTATGCAAAAGAACTTGTTGCTGCTGCATGCTCCATTTAACATACTCTTTCCTAGTATGTATTTTGTTTCAGTAAATGTTTATCACAAGCTGAGCTGTAGCCACATGTCTCTGACTATGAAGACTGGTAGGAGTTTTATGATGGACATTCTATAATAGATACATCCCATTAGTGTTATGTTTTATTGGTGATAGCTAACAATCAAACTCATCCATGTTACCAGACTTGAAACAGTGAATGTTTAACTTACTGACTCCAGTCAGATTACACATGTACAAAGCTTTGTTAATCACACAAGTATTTAAGTGTTTTCAAAGGGTGAGATTAGAATTCAAACTGAATTTAACAGATCATAGAATCGTTAGGGTTGGAAAGGACCTTAAGATCATCTAGTTCCAGCCCCCCTGCCGTGGGCAGGGACACCTTACGCTAAATCGTATCACCCAAGGCCTCGTCCAACCTGGCCTTGAACACTGCCAGGGATGGAGCATTCACAACCTCCCTGGGCAACCTATTCCAGTGCTTCACCACCCTAACAGGAAAGAATTTCCTTCTTATATCCAGCCTAAACTTCCCCTGTTTATGTTTTAACCCGTTACCCCTTGTCCTATCACTACAGTCTCTAATGAAGAGTCCCTCTCCAGCATCCCTATAGGCCCCAATTAATTAGTTTGAAGTCAGCAAGTAAAAACTCTAAAAATGCACTAGCAAGCTATATGTGCAAGAAGGAAAAGAATAATAGGATTAAAAATGATGAATTTAAGATGAATCTGGATGTGGACATTATAAAGGGCCCCAGGCTAAATAGAAGCCACCAACCGGTCATTGAGGGAATATATTTGCAGGGATCTTGTACATGAGATGCTGTTTCTAAAACTGGAACAAAATAACATAGACAAACTGGAACAGACAAGTGTAAAGTAACAACTATCATAAAATTCAAAACATTTTGAAAAAATTTTTTGAAGAGTTTGTGGTGTTTATTTGAGAAAAAAATATTGAAATATGGGTAAGGTCAGAGTAAAAAGGCAGTCACAAGATTCTTTCTCCATGTTAATTTGTAATTCAGTGAGTTGTAACAGGCTTATTATATAAAAAAAGATTTAGGTAAGACATTGGAAAACGTTTCTAACTAAATAAAGATGGGTAGTGGAATGGATTCCCATAATCTTTTTAAGCATCTCTATGGCTGGAGTTTTTTAAGGATAGATTAGAGAGACATGTAAGCTGATCTGTATAGACAGTTTTGCCTCAGAGGAAGGATGAAACTGCCTGTACGTCTTCAGACCCAACTGTGCCTTCACTTTTTTATTTTTATGGTATTTTTTTTTCTACATGTATTTCATCATTTGTATGTAACGCAATGCCAAACGCATTAAAATAAGGCTGCTTAAAGTGAGTATGGAAACAAATTGATTAAATTAATTTTTATGTTTTTCCACTCATTATGGAGTATCATGCTGAGGCAGAATACAAAATGAAGTGTGGTGTGAATGCTTATTATGGAAAAGCAAAAGAAAAATAATCCAATATATCCATTTGTAATGGAAAGTCTTTTCTGGTAAGAAAGCTTGCATTTTCACAGTACTCTTCTACTTTGAGTTTCAAAGTGCTTTCAGAAATGTTCTTTGCATCCCTGAGGCACTTTGTGAGGTGTGACCACATCTGTGTAGCTTCACATTGGAGACAGAAGCTCCAAAATACCCAGTTCAAGATCTAAAACCAGCAGGGCCAGGCCTGGCCTCACCTCCTTCAGGTGCAGCTCATCCCCTTTTCTATGTCATGCTCTCTCACCATCACTGTCGCTTGTCAGCTTTCAGAAATGTCTCTGTGCTTTCATGAGCACTTTGATGTGAGTTACCATCCTGTATGACAGGGACAAGTGTTGAGTTACTGCCCTTTCCTGAGGACCTCTGTGAACACATCTATGAAGAGCACGCAGGTAACAGGGGCTTCTATATGAGAAAGTATTGGTAGAAACCTGAATTGGCATAAAATTTGCAACCTTGACTCTGCTTTTTAGGTATTTTTTTTAAAAGAATTATTTAATATTGCTGTTTTTTTCTGACCAGCTTACATGTCTGCTTTATTTTAATGATAAATACTTGGGCCATACAAATAGTAGTTGCCGTGCCAATGAACACTTCTCCGTGTTAATTTTATTTTAATTTGGCAAGTTCTCAGAGGTAAATATGTTATAGTAAAACTGTCTCTTTATAGACAGCCATCTGGACATCAAGATAACTCTGTTAAATGTCTCTCTCTCTCTGTGTGTGTATATATATATATGTGTGTATATATATATATACACAAGTTGTTTGCCTGGTATTAAGTGGATTTACTTTCTATGAAAACTTTACTTAGCACTAATATGCCTTGTACTGCCCTTCAACACCACACTTTGTGGTGTCATTCTTAGAGGCAACAGCAAAAAACCTTTATACAATACAGGGGAAAGAAACCTCCAAACTCTCTAATAATGAGAGTAACCTTAACCAAGGATATTTCTCTGAGAATTAATAACTAGCTTGGGTTAATGGTCACTGGCTTCACCTTAGGCCCTCAGTTAATCCCTGAACCTCAGTTGTTATTACCTAATTGACTTAGTTTCATTTCATTTTAACATTTCAAAGTGATCTTCCTAAAATCACACTGACAGAGTAACGTGGTCTCTGTAGATGTGCACTGACATGGTTTCAATATAGTTACTTTGTCTCCATACTCTTGCATTGACATTTCATTTTGTTTTGACATCGCAGTGCCACATCTATGGATCTGTGCAGATGACATGTGATTGCTCAGATTAGGTGAAAGCCTGCCCAGGAGTGAGGGCAAGGGAACATCTTACACAGGGACATGATGCCAGCTAAAAGCCACTATGCAGAATCAGTGTTGTGAATGATTGTTAGCAAACATGATTTGCATGTTGTAAAGGGAAGAAAGATAAAATTTCACTTGAAAACTTGTTGGCTTTCTTAACAGACAGAAATCTTTCCACTCTTAGATCAGATAAAAAAAACAGCCTGAAAAACATGCCAGGTAATGTATTTAAAAAGAGGGGTTTTCATATTACCATTTCATGCTCATTGAGGCTGCAAATAAGTTATTCAAATCTGGTGTCTTTCAATAACATAGTATCCAATTAAGCAATTGAATACTGTAAGATGCAACTCTAAATTGAGAAATCCCTATAAAAATAGGGCATAAAAATGAAGCCTTTTTATGATGTGGAAAAGTTTTTTTGAAAGTCTTTTGAAGCTCTTTGATCCAGCTCTGAAATAATTTTGGTAGATTACTATTGTACGAAACCCATAATTTATAGTAGCTGACCTAAGCTGCTCTTTGTATAACAGCCATATATGAAACAATAGCAGGAAAGTGAAAAACACAAGGGGAACTAAAACTGCTCTGTTTATTATTTAGCTCATAATTACATCTTCCTTATTTAATCTTTTGAATCCTGGCATGTTCTTAATAATACAGATTCAATTAATATTTACTATACACAGGAGAGTTAGTTTTCAGTAATGCATTTAGACTATCCAAACTTTGTGTAACTTGTGACCTTTCCCTAACCTAAGCGAGGTCTCTTTTATACAGATTGTACTAGATAGACAGTTTCTCTATAAATGGTGAAGTTGCTGCCAAGCTCCCATTGTTAGCTAGTTCATTTTTCAACAGGCATACTTTAGGTTCCTATCACACCACTGTAAAGAGCAAGCCCTTGAGGTTTCTTCTTTTGTCAACATAATAAAATGGTTATTTCTGAATAACCTGCAAATCCATCACAAATGGCCCTTTGTGACTTGGAATAACATGATAGCAGGATTTTTTTGGTTTGTTTTTTTTTTTTGCAGGCAGCCTCCTATTTTATTCCATATTATTAAATTAATATTTGAGCAGCATTTGTCTTAGCATATGTATAACTCATCCTCGAAATAACAAATGCATGGTTCTGACAAGTTATTCTTGCTCAGTGTTCACTGTCTAACTGCCAAAGATCCCTTCAGAAGCTAAATAGTGAGACTACTTCAGCTGAAGGAAAAGGAAGAATCAAGTTGAGTTCTGCTTACTTTTTTTTGTTGACCTTCAAGGAGTTTTAATCAACTCTGTTAAACAAGAACAACCTGTAGGATAGACAAGCTCTTGTCAGAACAACTGGTTTGAGAACTGAGATCTAGCCATCTTTTCCTTTCTGAGACAAGTAGATTTTGGTACAGGAGGAAAGCTAAACCTTTGACTTCAACAGACCTTGCAGATGTGCTGCACAAGCAAGGCATGAACATGTGGAAAGGAAGTCTCCTTAATGAAAGAGACGGCTCTAACAGCTATATTCCTAATATTGGCTTTGCCTATTTTCTGGTAGCATGGATGCAGATTAGTATCAGAAACAGAAGCTGTCACTAGAAAACTTAGGACAGACTCTTCAAAAGGGGAAACAAGGGCAAATGGGAGGATGCTGAATAAATAAATGTGAAATGGTTAAAAAAGGATGGAAAATTCGAAGGGGAGGATTTAAAGACAGATGAAAAAAGCCATGAAAAGCCTTATGTAATAGTAGTCTAGAGGGTGGAGAAATGCAAAAGCAAATACCAGGACAGAATGACTTTCTGAATACACTGATGTAACCAAACAGGATGAAAATTATTCATAAACTATCAGTACTATTAATGTGATAAATAGTAATAAGGTAAGAGCAGTAAGACATTTGGTCTTTTTTCTTCAGCTTTAGATTGGAAGTTTTATTCTGCTCTGAGCTGGCTTCAGGGAAAGATCATTAAACTCATGCTAACAATGTGTCCGCAGAATACAGAAATGTTAAAAAACGTTTTGTCTTTATACTAGAGTGTGACACAGCATTGTGCTGCTTCTCTTTACAAGGAAGTTTTACTTCTCTGTTCAACGCAATGACATTAATTCCTAAAGCTCAGAACAGGCCTTATTACAGTGCTTGTAAGAGCAGATGCTTGGTGAGTCTATATATGCCAGTGTGAACATCAGTTGGTGTTATGCACACTTCTGTTTTCTGGCTAGGCGTAATTCATTAGCAGACTCTACAGAATATTCCATAAAACTGGATTTGGTTTTAATGTTAAGGTTCTAATGACTACAGTATTATTTAAGAAAACAAAACCAACGAGCACCTCACAAATAGTAGTCTCTCCTCTTTAATACTGAAGTTACTGTTTACATATGACAAACAGAAAAAATACACAAGGGTTTTTTTGCAAGACACAAGTAGGAATAACAAATAATAAAAAAAAAACTATGTTCTTTCAGCATTTAAAATAGTGACACAGCATATTTTTTTGCGGTGGCAAAGCTTCTTCAATAGCATTTAATGAAATTAATACAGTAGGTACACTTTTGTGGCTTATTTCATCCTCATTCTAATACAAAGATGCTTAAAGGGGGCAATATATAAAGATGAGGTCAAAGCTTTTATTAAAGACAGCTGTATTGCTTTCCAACCTGTTATGTCATGGCATTAGGTAGAGGAATAAAGAAACAAATACAAGCCTAACCTGATTTATCTGTGTGTCCCCATATAAATTTGTTTAATGTAAAAACAAAGCAAAGCTTTGATGGAGGTTGATCAGGATTTTCAACATCTGTGCAGATAAATTTAATTTATTCAAAAAGAAAAAACAGCATTACTGCATCTTGTAAAAGCTGATTTAAATGATTTCATACAACAGAAAGCATATGCACTAGCTAAAACAAATTCAGTTTGCCCTTCAAACCCATTTACTCAAACAACCATTACTTTTGAATTTTCTACTCCAATAATGTTCAGCTATTTCTTCTTTTTTATTCTCTTCTGGATTTCACACATTCCACTAGCCTAAACCCCAAGCCCAGGGGCAGCAGCAACATCATACATGCAGCTCCTGTGTATCTTTACTGGCAGATCCTGAAAGCTGGTTAGGCAAAATAAGCTAAGCACAATACCTTAAATAGCTGAACAGGAATGAATTACAGCTGTAACAGGTTTATTTTTAAAATAAATCTTTTCACTATAGCATGTTAAAACCTAGGATAATAATCTCTATGCAACAATAATTCACTGCAGTGGAGCTATACGAGCTTATCTCTGCAGCAAGGAACAGAGTACTAGGAAGACTAAAGAAAGATATTTTTTCCTGAAAATTAAAGATTAGTCAAAATGATAAGGTCCTTTCTGAAACATAGCAAACTGTTAAAATGAGAACTAAAAGTTCAAAATAAAAATACTGCATATGCATCTGAAAACTATAGCTGAAAGAAAATGGAATAAGATTAATACCCTTTTAAGTCAAGGCAAGACTATAAAAAGCCTGCATGTGATTTTTGAAATCATACAGGCACATAGAGTATCACCTCAGCTGCAAAAAGATGATGCATATGTACTGTAATGTTTTAAAGACCCTTTCCTTATGGAAGAGGTTATCAACTTGTGCTTTAGGAAAACTGTTATCACACCTTTAATTCTACAACAAAATCCGTACCTTTGCTTCTCTGAAAATCAGAACATGGTGAGCAGACATGCAAAACTCTCGCCTTTAAAAAATATTCTGTCCTTTCCCAAATGCCAGTTAGTGAAGAAAAGAGTATTAAACAGTGTCAAGCTCTGTAAGCTGCTACTAAGGAATCTCTGAGAGCACAAACCTGAGGCCCAACACTGCCCCTCTAAGTGGTGATGAGCATGAAAATAGGGCGAGACTGAACTCACTCAAATCTAAGGAGGGCTAGCACCCACCAAAATGCTCTTCTGCTCTTGGAGGTTTCAACAAAAGAGAAAAACAATGCTTTTACAAGTATACCTAAGTACGGTGGAAACTTATGCTCTACCCAGCACAGTTTCTATAGGCAAACTTTGTGTGTCTATTTATCCTGCGGCACTGATCCAGTAAAAAGCACTGTTTCATCATCTTTTTTTTCACTCCTCTTGTTGAACACCAGGATGGTAATCTCCTTCAGAAGTAACCCACACAGAGAGCTCCTGCACATTGTTCTTGTGGACTTCAGTACGCCAGAAAATTGTATGTTACGGTACCTACAGGGGTCAAGACAGATTCCTTCCTTAAAGTCAGTTAAGGGAAAAATTCCTAGGTACAGATTCCCTGGGGGGTGGGCTGGAAAAGACAAACACAAGTTATTTTTCAGTCATTAAACTACTTATTGAAAACCCACAAGTGTAAGCCCAAATCTCACTCCCCAAAATCCACTAACTTATTTTTTAATTCTTAACTCGGTATTCCATTATTGATTTTAGCAATTAGATAGTGACAAAACACATATACCAATTATTCTCTCAAAGTCTGGCTCTTTACTGTAACAGCCAGAACTTACACAATCCTATCTTATCACTTTAACTTTATGAGATCTGCATTATGTTTTAAGCCCCAGAATAACAGTCTTTACCAATTTTCCGCATTGGTGTAGGTGTTTCAGTCAGTTCACTAGCACTGAATAAATTTGGGAGTTAAACCATAAAAAGCCACTTATTTTTAAAGGTGACTCCCTAATAGGCATAAGAACTGAAAGTTGTACCTTTCAGCCTCTGCATTTTTGTCTTTGTTTAGAATGCTAGAAGAAGCCATCCGGAAGGAAGAAATATTATGAGTATCTAGAAACTAGCTGTTTGACAGAGACAGAAATGCTGATAATGAGTGGGTTGTGTCTGTCTTTTTTGGCTGATCACAACAGAGGTCTGAAGCAAAACAGAAACTCTTGATATGTTTGTATAAAGAGGCAGTAGCATAAGGGCAGGCAGCAGGAGTTCAGCTGAAGTTCAGGGCAGATGCTGCCATTAGTTTACACTGCAGGAAAGTAAAATTGCTTCCGGATTTACCTCTTCCTCCCAACATCAGCGTTGAGCCATGCTGTGTCGCAGAGTCACAATGTCGGTAGGAAAGCAGTCTTTTAGCAGGATACCACGCTCACGATGGCAGTCCAGTTCTTCAATAAATCCATACCAGTAAATGACTAATCCAGGGCCAAATCTATCAAGCAAAAAGGAAAGTTAACTTATGTGCTTGTGTTACGAGAAATTTAATTTCCCAGCTCTAGTTATTCCAACACAGACAGTACTGGACCTCCATTCAATTTTCAAATTTTAACCAGTGTTGACCCATCATGTCATTAATGCCTGGTTCCTTAAATAAAAATGCTATTTAGAGGCTCAAACAATCCACATCAGACTTCTGTTTTTTTTTTCTTTGAATAATCTGCACATACCAGTAAAAAGACCTGTGCTTTAAATACTGAATAATATTCAGTAACTTTGATACATACAGAAGTCTTTCCCGCCCTGCACTCTGTTCTTCCAGATCTGGGCATGCAGGCATTAAAATAAAGGGGTTTATGCAACTTCCAGTTCATGCAAATTACACTACCATGAAGATAACAATGAATCCTTAAAATACAGCTGCTAAATGAGGTAATTATTAATGTAATGCACAATTCAGAAAGAAATAGAAAGTTTCTGCTGTAACATCTCTGAAATGCGTCTCAGGAATTCCTCAGATATTGCTAACTCTGACTGATCCCCACTAGGCAATCTCAGGAAGTAACCCCATGCACCATTTTACCCATCAGGAAGTTCAGACCTTCAGGCTGGGTTCATAAAGAAGTAATCACTATCAATCACTGCATACTGTGATATGTTTTGCACATCAGTTTCACGTTTTTCCTACTGAGAGCACTTAATTAAAGGGCAGCGCTACTTTTGGTGTAGTGTTGCAGGAATTTTACAGTGAAATCATAAATTATGAATGTTGGGTTAGTAAAAGGATGTCTAAAAACAGAACTGCTTTCTGTAGTCTAACATTACAGCAGTCTGTACAACATTAGGCCAAAAAGCTTTTTCTTTCCTTGATTTATTATATGCTGTAGTGAACTTGCCAAAAACAACAGTGCAGGATGAGCTGTTAGATACCGTCTGTACAAGAAAAAGTTCAATATAATGTCATGTAATGGTTTATATGCAGAGCTGTGCTCTGGACTCAACCAATATGGTAGCCAATTTTTGTTAATGTTTAATTATAATAAAAATGTGTTATAGGGCTTGCACAGTAACCTAAATGTCCACTTAGCAGACAATACAAGCACTCAAAAACGTGGGTAGTGCCAGACCAGCTTCATTAGGGTGGTTTCTTCCCAGCAATGGAGGGAAAACTCTATTTGATGTGCTCATGTAATGGAACAGGCATCAAAGGAAGAAGAAACCCTGCGGCTTCCTCCTGCAGTTTCAATTAGATACGGTAGCCTTTAGCCCAAAACTGCGTTGTAACATTTCTGTTTATGGCTACTACTCTTCAACCGAGAAGTGGCCGCAGTTCAGTGGCAAAGTAAATTACTCCTCAGCACAGCTGAGGCAACACAGGCAAATGTGGATTTTACAACTGAAAGATGATATTTGGAAGGAGAGAGAGGCTGAAACTCTGACAAATCCAGCTACACTACTTAATGTATTCAAACAAATTTAGCATTGAAAAAATCACAGATTAAGAAGTGGCTCCTATGGAAGGACAATGCTGCCTACACCCAATTCCTAAGTTTTCTCTGGCTGGCCGACAACTTCATGTGGGGACAAGATGTGCATGACCCCACTGCACTATGGAGGCCAGCTAGCCTAGCAGCAGTGAGAAGTGGCAAGTGAAGCCAAGGACTGATGCTCCTTGCCTCTGGTAGGAGGCTGCAATTTGCTGGTGCAGGATGGGCCTACTTTTGCTACTTCACAGGCTATGTATCTGCTCCCACATCAACCAAACATAATAAAAGGATAATCTAGTAGGGGATGTATATATGTGCTAACCAAAACTATTTTAAAAGCAAAGATAAAGCCCCTGGAAGATAGGAGCAGACCTTACATTTCTAGTGGGCTATTTTATGCAAGGGAGAAGCTATGAAATGTCCACAAATACTTACTCATTATAAGCGCATGTGCCAGGTAAAATCTTCATACTAATGCTCACCCAAGTTTTGAAGGGCTCATTTTGCTCTTTGTGGCAGTTTGAATCCCCTATCCACCACAAAAGAAATGTGGCAGTGCACTCATGTAATTTGAAAAGTTTTTTTTTTTGAAAAGGAAATTTTAAATAAAATTAGTATTTCGAGATGCCCCTAAAGTGTAATTTATGTCTTTCTAGAAAATCATCGCAGCTCAAGCATACTTTTTCAGGAATATTTCATGCTTTAAAAGTTACCTTCAGAAATCATCAGATTTGGTGGTAAAATTTATATACAGGAACATCTGCATACTGTTAATTGCAGGTGCAATTTCATCTTTAGCATGAAAACATCTATCAATCCTGCTTTTGGCTGTAATATAGGAAAACTATTTTCCCTGTACTGCCTAGCTTGCACTTTTTTCCACTATATTGTGCCATTCTTTCTATTATAGCTCTATATCATACCTCCCATATGTATGATCACATAAAAAACATACCATACTTTTGTTTAAAAACACTTAAGTGCAGTACTTAAGATCAAAATAACTTGTTGGCACATTAAGCATTTGCCACTGACTATCAGGAACTCCTGCTGCTAAGTGTTAATTTCTCTCTCATTAACACCCAGAGTTGGCAAATCACAAACAATACCACTGGTTAATTACTGCTGCCTTAATTTGAAAAGACACTTAACCTTTTTGTGCAAGGGGATGAGGTGTTGAAGTGTAACCTAGAAGTAAGAACTATCCTTTTTAATTTGACTCCTTCCAAAGCACAGATATGACACTATGAAGAACAAAACACAATGCTGTAAATCACAAAGTAAAGCTTCAAATTGATTTCTGCATCAATGGTAACATTTAACAAGTTAGGGACTAACCCTGGTTTACACGAGAATAAACTAAAACGACAGAATGCTTACATAGTATTGCCATGGAAAGGGGATCCACTAGCACTGAGGAGGAGAAAAAAAACCCCACGTCGAATGCACCAAATGGTTCTAAAACTATATAGATGTGATATGCAATATAGGCTAGGTTATGCCATTTCATATGAAAGACACACAGGAGAAAGTTTAATATGAAAATCGAGCTTAGATTGTAACAAACTATGGACTCATATGGATTTTGTTCTTGCTCAGAAAAGTTCTGTAAATCCCTACAAATGAGGTTAAATTGCATTTTCCCCTCCATCTTTAGCTCTTTCCCTGAAAAGCTTAGGTGTGAAGGAATGTGTCCAAAAGTTATATGAAACTGTAGTTTTACCTATTTCAGTGAAACTATTACTTTTAGAATTTTATTTTTATATGGTGTATCTTTTTAAAGCTGAAAAGAAATCCAAGTAACTAAGGTTTGGTTAATTCCATGCAGTAAAAATTGAATAAATAGGAAATATAGAGGCAAGCCCCCTTCAGAATATAAAGAACACAGCAAGTGAAAATTGTCCATGCAGGTTGCATAAGTTTACTTTACAACCCGAAGCCAAATTTTTTTTTTTCCTAAAAAAAATAATCTGTGTGTAAGTCAAGGGATCACTTAAGAAAAAAATATGGAAAAAAACCCTAAGTAAAACGTGAACCTGGGTTTCACTTGCCCTCCAATTGAACCAGTTTTGTGCTAGAAAAAAGACTTTTATTTATTTATCAAAGTGGTCTAGTAGGATCACACATACTCCACTTCAAGAGAAACTACTTTCTAGTAATGTCTTTTCTTTTGGAATATCTGTGTGGGGTCCATGCTAGCTTCTAAGGATTCACCTAGACATGTGGCTGTTGTGAGTGGATTTTTTCACCATCAAAAAGCCTTGCATGTGGTTTTATGAAAAATGCATTTTCAACACACTGCTCGATACTGAGCAGAAATGTAAAACATCTTGCAGCTGTTTTTAACTAAATGTTCTCTTTATTTATTCTCAGTCTATTTGTTATGGATGGGCTGTATGCATCTCAGCATAATGTAAATAATTTTAATTCAGAAAGACTCTCCTAATGAAATGCTGGCATATAAATTATTATTTCTAATATGCATGTACTTAAGCAAGTATTTTATCAAACAGATTCAGATAAGTATTCCTGTTATACGAATGCATAACAGCCTACCTGGTTGGTGATTTTACTTCTGAAGGTCACATCTGAATGTGACTTTGAAGGGACCTCATTCCGGTCCCTTGCTTTTTAATGTCAGATCATCAACAGGGGCAGCTGAAAAGCTGGCTTTGTTTCCTTGTTTTTCTTTTTAAATATCAAATCAGAGCATTACCACTTGCATGTTACTACTTACTTCATGGGAAAAGGGAATTACAAAAATTCACAAAGAAATTATTATATTCTAAGTCATTTATCACAGTTCCTTTGAATCACAGTTGTGAGGAAAGTGGTTTTAGTTGTAGTACTAATGAACCCTGAAGATATAATTAATCCCCCCTATAATATCTAATAAATTTATTGATTAAGGACTCACAACTTTATTTTAGTGTTCCTGTAGAAGTCTCATTTGTGTCGGTGGAGGGAATTTAGATATTTGCAGGGCTAGGCTAGTAGGTAACAACCGCAGACCGCATTTTCAAGTAAGGTCAGTTGGCATCAGCCAGCCAACTTCCTTACGTCTAGACCAGTTTACCACTGCAGATGACACAGCGTTATATATCTTGGCAAACATTTAATAGCTGCTGCTCAGACACTGACTTTGATTAGCAAGAAATTTTCCATATAAGCAGCTACCACAAGAGTAGCTCAGAAGAGTTTGTAACAAGGCATTTCTGCTACTGTTCATTTATATAGAATTTTAAAATCAAATAAAGGTATTTGTGCATGAAGAGAGTGCATTTTTAAAACTCTGAAGGCAATTTAAAGATAACTGTGGGGTTTTATTATCCTCACCACTTTTTAAATCCTCCATATGCTTTTGTGATTCAGTAACACACACTGATTTAAATAAAACATGCCTTCAAGGCATTACACAGGACCTTATTTCTTTGACTTCACCAAATCTGGTTGAAAGAAAAAGAAATCCAGGACTTAGTAACAAGTTTAACAAGTTCTGATCACATAC